AAAATGGGAAGTGTCTAGTTTCTAATGTCACAAATGGCACTCGATTTCAAAGTCGGAGCAAAGAGTTATGGCCGAACCAAAACCACTGCCGGAGAGGCTCTGGTTACGTTTCCAGTTTTGCTACATTTTCGAAATCTCAACTTTTGGCCAACCAAATTGGATGATTTTTGGTGGAAACTTTCCACACAAGCTATAAAACATATCTATATCAAAATCAAGTAAATTTAACCACAAAAAATTGCACCAACAGGTGCGGCAAAGCAGGGGCAGAACCGGCACCTCAACATGCAACCCCTCATTTGATTTCCTTTTCACTTTTAACACTTAGCTCTACTAAATTAACACTTAATCAACACAATTAACATCCAATCTCATCAAATCAGATCATCAAAGCCATTGTAGGATTTCATAGAGCTGACTCACAAGATTTCCAACAATATAAAGCTACCCATATGAATCTATCAGCTTACAAGTGCAATCTAGCTTACATAAACTAAGATTTGAAGAGTGGATGATCATATACCTCCTTAGATGTTAAGTCCAGAAAATTTTGGTCCTTTAAAGCTCAAGAAATCCATGGAAATGCAGCTCTTCTCCTAGCTTAAGATGATCACCAAGTGATTTGCAAGTTGTGGTACAATTTGGAAGTGATTTGAGCAAGAGATTGAGGAGAGAGGGTGGAGAAAATTCTGGTCTTGTTCTTCCTTCAGAGGTTCAGCTATTTGAGGGTGTGTGAGGGAGGGAAATCTGATGTAGTTGGCTTCTAATGGAAGCTTAAAAATTTGTGGCCCAAAATTACTCCAAATCCACTAAAAATAATGCACGTGCGAGCGCGTTTCGTGCTTGCTTCCTCTCGAGTTTGTTTCACTTGTGCCCTAAACCTTTAATACACTTCCATTCATATTATTATTATTCACTCTTAATAGTCTAAAATAAAGGGTTTAATATCCCTTAAATAATTGCGCGCGCGAAAATGCGTACTTCCAATTTGTGCGCGATAACGCGAAATTTCTAAGGAATTTTTATAACGATGGTATAACTAAATAATACTTGAGTACTTAATCATAAAAATACCTATTTTAAGACTAATGTATAAGTCTTCAATTTCCAAGCTCATTGTACCCTTGAATCGATTATTATCTCCAAACGCGCATTCATTATTCTCACTAAACGAACTTTTTTTAAATTAAATTGGGTAACAAGTCATTTTAAAAATACATGTAAGCCATGGTTCCATGTAATTGAGTCTAAAAAGGTTGGAATAAAATATTCGAAGTAAACGGCCAATTAAATATTTAAATAAGCTAGTAATAGGAATTTAAAATAAGTAAATTTGTGAGTCCTCATACGAGTCTAGTATTAATTTCTCAAGTCTCCAATTTGCCATGCGGTACGACTTTCAAGAAATTATCGACGTACGCGTAATAAAAACTTTATTTAATTTAATCACATCTAATCTCTCAATTAACTCTTCTTAGTCCCCTATTGATCATCCTTAATTCTCCAAAATCATTGTACTCTCAGATCGACTATCATTTCAAAGGTGTGTATTTGTTATTCCTTAATAAACGAGCCTTCGAAAAATTTAAATTTGTTAGCGAGATGTTTAAAAGTATAAATAAGACATGGTTTCATAAAAAATGAATTTAAGAGGGTTGAAATAAATTGTTCTGAGAAAACATGTGAATAAACATTTAGATAAGCCAGTAATATGAGATAAAATGAGAAAATTTTCGGGTCCTCACATGTTCCTTGCATGTTTGTGCATTAAATGACTATATAGTGGTAGTACTTGTTGTGATTGTTTGTTTGAGTGTTAATTGCCTTCCAATGACTGTTAAGTGTCTTTTAAATGTATGAGTGTGTACTTTATCGCACTCGACTTAAGTGAATGTAAATTTTCAATGATCAAATGATTGAATATTACTTGTGCATGAATGTAAGTCATGTGTACTGTATCACATTGGCTGAATTGGGCCCTTGCCCTTCGTTGCCAGTCGACTCGAGTTAGAAGTGGACTCAGTCAGGTAGGTTGGTGACCCTGGGACAGTGTTTTGTTATACTCGAGTATGATCACGAAGTCGGGTGGAGTAATGGCCAGTGAATAAAATGTAATGATTGAAATGAATGACTAAATGTCTGACTGAATGAAATGATCATTGTAGGAGTTTTCGTTTTCAAATGTTTTCAAATATTGGAAGTTATAAGGAAGGGATGAGCGGAGACTGAATGAATGGCTCCAAGTGAGCTCGTATCGTTTAAATAATTGAATGTTTACTTCTTGAATGCCTTGAGACTGTTTATTACTGTTTATTACTATATAAAGTGTGTGAAATTGTTAAATGCAATATTTTTTGTGATTTGACTGGTGTTTTGCTTGGATGCTTGTTTGGGAACCTCTCTGGGTGTAAGTTCATCCCATTAGTTTGTTTTTCTTATAGGAATTGAGGTCCGGAGCGGATAAGGTTGAACTAACGTGTATTGATCCTTTTGCACATGTACTTTTGGTAGACAGATTGTACTTTTGATCTTTGATGGTGTATCTTACATTTCACTTTTGGGTTGTAACTAAACTAGAATTATTGGTTGAATTGTAGAACTCTGATGTTAATTTGGAGGATTGAATAGTTATTTTGAGAATTTATTGTAATGAATGTAGTGAGTCTTAGCGAGAGTTGGGCAGACGGTCCACCAAACTCTTGGGTACGCCCTAGGGGGAGATGGGGTCATCACAATAACTACTAGTGGAATAGTTATTACCCATAACGATAAAAAGATATATGTTGAGAGAAAATGACGAGTCAATATAGTATTTATATACCTATAAGAATAATGTATAAAGATTATAAAGTTGAATACTTTGTAGCATATATTGATAGTGGATCAGAAAAATGTTTATGTAAACCTACATATTTTCCACCACAATACCATGAAATCTTACCTGATCGAATAGGTATTAATCTTTCTAATAATCCTATTACTTTAAATTCTGGAATAACTAACTCACAAATATTATTTGGTTCATTCCTTATTAAATATTCTCCATTTACTTCTTTGATACAGGACTAGATCTACTATTAGAAAATATATTTTTCCAACTATTTTATACAGTTTTATTCAATACTTTACAATCTCAAATACATTTTAAAACTCCTTGTGGCCACTGGATCATAGTTTTTCTCCTTAAACATGCTTATGCCGGTAAAATTCCTATAACTTTTCATTCTCGCGCAGGTCAGCGTGGTGATATTGGATATTCAAAAAAATCAAAAATACCTAAAGAAAGCTCTATGTTATAATTTGAAAGACAATTACATTTAAAACAACTACAATTAAAAACTATATCTACTATCCTACAAGATATAAAAAAAGGGTATGATTAAGATATATAGAAAATCCTCTTAAATTTTGGGATAAAAACCAAGATTATGCTGAAATAAAATTTAAAAATGAAAATAAAAATAAAATAATTAGAATCAAACGCATGAGGTATAATCCTATTGATCAAGGTGAATTCAAAAAATAAATTAAAGAATTGTTAGAAATGCCTTTAATAAGAGAAAGTAATTCTCCTCATTTTTCACCTATATTTATGGTAAGAAACCATGCTGAAATAGTAAGAAATAAGTATAGAATGGTTGTCAATTATAAAAGGTTAAATAATGAAATCATATTTGATGGATACTTTTTACCACATAAAGAGACTTTTTTTTTCAAACTTATAATTTTATTGAATTGAGCCAAAAAAAGCCGTACAAATCTCAACTAACGCATCTTCTACGAAAGTTAGGAAAACCTAAACGATCCATGGTAATCTCCGCCCGGACATTAACAAGCAATGCCCGATGGTTATTAAAAATACTCTCCTGCTCCGTATTTGCTCCCAGGTTAGCTAGGTAATCAGCGGGCTTGTTCGCCTCTCTATAGCAATGCGTGATCTCCAGGAAGTACTACTTATAGCTGAGCAACTCATCCACCTCCCGTTGCAGCCTCCACGGGCAATCCTGTATCCTTTGCAAAATCCGTACCAAGCCGAGCGAGTCAGCCTTGACATGCAACTCATGCAAACCACGAGCAACACATAGCTGCACCCCAAAAAGCATGGCCTTGAGCTCCGCATGTAAACTTGTCAAGGAACCAAAGAAGCAGGAATAACCAAAAATGAGCTTCCCTTCCCAATCTCACACCACACCCCCACCCCCATCCCTACTAACCCCCGGATTCCCTCTAGCACATCCATCTGAATTCAACATGTGCTCTACCCTAGGAGCCATCCAGTTAACCGGAAGAATCGAAACCCTCTGTCTCATACCAACCAAAGAAGAATGAAAAGCATCCCAAGAGCCAGAAGAACATGCTATCTCCGGGAAGCGGCAATGAAACAATACACGCAGTTTTTGAAATACCTGATGCACCACCTCAACACACACAGCTCTCTTCCCATCAAAAACTCCCCTGTTCTTGCTTTCCACAACTCCCAGCAGACAAGCATAGGTAGCAAATGATAAACAAACCTGAGGTACACATTTTGCCCCCGTTAACCACCACCGAAACACCATGCGCCTTAATGTGGACACCACATCCAAATCCTGTGGACTGCCCTCGAAGCTATTCCAAACTGCCTTTGCTAAATCCCCTATGCAAAAGGTGTGATTAACCCCCTTCTCGCCTGGCTCAAAGCAACAGTGACACTTAGACGGGTCCTGAACCCCAAATCTTTGTATTATTTCCATCAAGGGAAGACGCGACCGTAATAACCGTAGCATGAAGAAGGAAATCTTGAGTGGACATCCCTTCAGCCAAACCTGTGGAACCACCCAAGAGCAATTAGATGCCTTCGTAACAAGGGAGTAAGCCGAGGCTACCGAGAAACCACCATCATTCATCAAAGCCCAGACCATCCTATCAGAGCCTCGAGAGGAAGGAGGAGGGACCTTCACCACTTGCCTCACCAACTCAAGCTCTAAAACCTGACTAAGTAGCCACATATCCCATCGTGCCTAAGAAACAAAGTCCGACACTCTATGCTCATGAAAAATTTCCACTTGATGACATAAAGCTCCTGTACTCAACCAATTGTCATGCCAGAAATCTATCGAACCCTCACCAAGGATCCAGTCGATGTGCTCCTCCACCAAATGCTGGATCGAACATAATCTCCGCCAAATGTAAGACTGTGAAGAAACCTCTTCTACCAAACACGCATGCACCCATTTATTATATTTTGCTATTAGGAATTCTGCCCATAGAGATTTCCTCTGCCAAAAGTTCCACCAAAGTTTAATGGAAAAAGCGTCGTACACCTTCGCAATGCAACGAATTCCAATCCCACCCATCTCCTGCGGGCGACACAAATCCCCCCAACTTATCCAATAAAACTTAGGGCCAAGATCCCTTGAACCCCACAAAAATTCTGCCATCACCTTTTCTAAAGAAGCAAAACTCCCTTTGGAGGCAATGCCGCTGCTAACAGATGGATCGGCATTAAAGACAACACGCTCTTTAATAGCACCATTTTGCCTCCAGACAAGAGAACTGGATGCTTCCATGATAAGATTCTAGACATTACAGCAGTGCAAATATCAGCAAAATAACTCGTCCTTTGACTTCCAATATATAGAGGACAACCAAGGTATTTGATTGGAAATGATTTGTACGAGAAGCCCGTTACCCTTCTGATCATTGCTCGATGTTGCGGAAGCAAAGTGGGGTGCACCAAAAAATAACTCTTCTGACAATTAACTTGCTGCCCCGACAGTGAACAGTAGCTGTTGACTACCCCTTGACCAACTTTACAGAAGCCTTAAGGTTGCTAGTGAAAATCACTACGTCATCTACATATGCCAAATAAGTGACCATAGGGCAGCCAAGCGGGACTTTAAATGATCGGAAACTTCGATGCTTCACCAAAGCATTCAGCGAACGAGAAAATACCTCTACTCCAATAACAAACAAGGCTGGCAAAATTGGATCTTCCTGTCGCAAACCCTGTGTGGGCTTAAAGAATCCGTGTGGCAAGCCATTCACAATGATGGAAAACCGGACATTTGAAATCAATCTCCAAATCATATCAATCCAAACCTTGCTAAAACCAAACCGCCGTAGAACTTGTGTCAAGAAAATCCAAGATACCCTATCGTATGCCTTCATCATGTCCAGCTTGAGTATCACATTCCCTCCCCAATTGGATTTTTTAATATCGCTCAACAACTCTTGTGCTAAGAGAAAATTATCCACCATCTGTCTCCCTGGCACAACACCACTCTCTGTTGCAGTGAGATAATATGAGGAAAAACCCTAGCCAAGCGGGAGGATAAAATTTTGGAGATGACCTTGTTGACAAAGTTGCATAAACTTATCGATCGGTATTGTATAAAATCCTGTGGACATTGTACCTTGGGAAGTAACACAATTTCAGTAGCAGTGACACTTCTTGGCAACATCACGCCACAAAAGAAGCTCATTATAGCCCTATGAACATCCTCAGCGACCACCTCCCACGTAGTCATGAAAAACTTCCCCGTGAAGCCATCCGAACCCGCAACACTGTCCCCATCCATCGAAAAAATGATTTCCTTCACTTCGTGTAATGACGGGACCTCAGTCAACAAAATATTATCTTGATCCATGATAATCCTAGGAATAATCTCTAACATGTCACTTGACGACCTTCCCACCTCTTCTGTAAATAGCTCTTGAAAGAACGAAACGGCGTCATTACAAATACTTGATTCGTCGTCCACCCATTCACTATTTGTCATCCTAATTCTATGAATAACCGACTTCCTCCTCCTCTCCATCACTATAGCGTGGAAAAATGTTGTATTCATGTCACCATCCGAAAGCCATTTAACTCGAGCTTTTTGCCTCCAGAACTCTTCTTCAACACCAAAGCATATCGCAATCTTGCACGCTCCTCTTGTAGCTTCATCAATAACACGTCCGACGGATGGTTATCATGAGCTATTTCAGCTTCTAGCACCCTTTGCTCTACTGTCCGAATTGCCAAGAAGATGTCACCAAAGAGTTCCTAGACCATTAGCGAAGCGCCTGCTTCACCCTTCGCAACTTATCCGATAAAACTCTGAGAGGCAAACCAGTGAAGGAAGTAGACCAACACCCCTTAATCACATCCAGGAAACTTGGTTTTATCATCCAAACATTCAAGAATCGGAATGGCATCGGCTTGCCATCCAAACTCGTCGCTGTCGATAACAGTAGAGGGGCATGATCTGATGGATTTCTCCTCAAGTGTTGCACTAAAATAGTATTCTCCATTAGCATAGTAGCCGAGTTGATCAAAAGTCTGTCGAAGCGCTTCCATGCCCTAGCCATACCCTGCCTATTATTACACCACGTGTACTTAGACCCCGAGAAACCAACATCCCCAACCTCTGCCAATTACATAAATTGTGCTAGCTCAACCCCATCGGAGTGCCTAAAAGGTAAGCTGCCCCGTTTTTCCTCTGCATCTAAGATAACATTGAAATCCCCCACAAGAAACCATGGTTTCACCTCCAGCTTCTCACGCAACAGGTCTATCCACAAGCCTTCCCTCTCCTGGGCAGTGCACTTCACATGAATAAACGAAAAATATATCTCCTCAGGCAACAGTTGGGACCCAATGCCTAACATGATGTGCTGATCTGATTCCCCTGTTGTGTGACAATTAAAGGAAGATTTGTAAAGCACCCAAACGGTACCCGACCGATTTGCAATAGCTAAATCCATTCCAACCTTTACCCGAATCATATCCATGTTTAGAAGAGACGTCTTAGGTTCACAAATCGCTACCAAAGAAACAGAGTGCACTTTAACTAGTTTGCGGAGTCGTTTTAGATTAGGGGCACGCGAGACACCCCGAATATTCCAAAAAAGAAACCTAATCATCGGATAAGGCTGAGAAAGAATTTTTTGATGAAATTACTCTAGAGCGTAAAGTACGATCATACAGGAAATGGACCCGAGTACCTTTTTTTTCAACTAGGATATCGTACTAATCCCATCTTGGCGCACCATAGAAGTCGATATCGCACCAGGCTCCAGATTCAAAGCAGCAACAGATGATCTCTGTGACGACCCCACTTTCCCTAAGGCGAACCAAAGGGTTAGCGGACCGCCTGCCCAGCTCTCGCCGGGACTCAGTCGTTCACTACAATCCTCAATTGAATTTCAAGATAAAACTTCAAATATTACATCAAATTCTCCAAAAATTACATGTCACAAATGCAGCGGAAACAATTCCTAACTATACATAAAATGATTCCAAATCAAAACTGTACAAAACATAGGCCATCCAATCACGTGCACAAGTACTATAAGTCCTTCCTTCGCCTTGAGCCCTGTGGAGGGGAATAAAATATTTTTGGGGTGAGCTAGAAGCTCAGCGAGTAACCAGCAAAATCATTAAGCAAATATATTTCACAATGTTGCATTTCGATGATTTCGATGATGTCATGATTCAGAGATCAAATGTCCGTTTAGTGCTCTCGTGAGCCAGTGAAATCATTGCACTAGAACACCCAACGCTCAAATAGATCATAACACACGAACAGAGAGAGGAAGCCCCTTTTGAGCTCCAGATAACCATGAACATGAACCACAAACAGAATGGAGACGTTGGTGTCCAGCACAAGACTTTCCCAGAACTCATTGAAGCCAAAATCATATCATGAATTCACATGCAAGCACGCATGAGATGCAATCGAATAAATAATGCAAGAAACATTTCACAAATAACTTTGGAAATAGTTTAGGGTCACTCACCTCCATGGCTCAGAAACCATCTATCATATTGCATTACTTCACTCAAGTCCAAGCCCTAACGCACAAACGCAAAGCAATCAAGCCCATTCAAAATTCGGACAGCATTTCCCCTAAATTTCTTTACTTTTCCAGCCATCAAGGCTTCATTATTTCCTCAGCCAGTCTCAAAGGTACACACACAACAACAAGTTCATCTAATAGTCATTCAGCAAGCTCCAAGTAGTACTAGTACAAGTCAAGCTAGGGAAAAGTTCGGAAATGAAAGTTAAGCTCAAAACCAGGAAAACAGTTTTGACGTCATTTTGCGGTAATGGCACCAAAGGTATTACGAGTATCGGATGGAGGTCCAAGACCCACCGTTTCGAAGCTAAGAACCAGGGCTACAACAATGTAGAAGGTCACTCAGTCCAAATCCTAGCACAACTAGGTCAAATATGCAGAAAACCAACCCAGAACCGTAATTGCAGGTTCCCAAATCACACAATGCTGTAATTCGTCCAACTCAGTCTACACAGGTCCAAATGCCGAAATTCCAAAGGCATATGATAGCTAAGACATCCAGCTACATTTCATCAGAAGACCTCAACACCCAAATCCAAAAACATTCCAGTCAAAACAACCCATTTACAGGCTCAGTTCGGCCATCCTGAAACCCAGAACAGCAATAGTAAATACGACATATCTCATTCTACACTACTCCAAATGCCTTGAAATTTTACAGGCACCCTTAAAACATCAATACCTACAACTTTCATGTTTTGAGCCAAGGCCAATTCGGCGTCTATCTATGACCTAAAAATTCGGACAGAATGTTCATCACAAAACCCTCACTTTTCAATTTTTGGTCCAAAACAGAAATTGGTTGCAATTAATCACTTTTCCCACCTCATAGAGTCCTTAAACATCATTTCCAATCATCAAACATAGCCACATAATCATGCTTATAGTAAAACAGAAAAATCCCCAAAAATAATAAAACTTCACCAATTCAACCAAAACTCAAGATTTAATCCATAAATTTGCATCTTATACAGCCACTAAGCATGCTTTAAGCATCAATTAAAGGAGGAGGGTGGTTCTTCACAACTTACCTTTAAAACAAGAGAGAGAGAGCTATGGGTCACCTTAACTTTCCAAACAACTTCACACACCAACTCACAATCACTACTTGAAGAGGTTTTATGGAAGGAATTCAAGATTAAACGGTTAGTTTGTGAGATTGGACAAGATTGGAGCAAGAAACTTGGAAGCTTTTCTTTCTTTTCTTGTAAGAAGAGGTTCAGCCAAGCTTGAAGGAAAAATGGAAGATTTTTGGTCAATTTTGATATTAATTTGGTAAAGGCATGAATAGTGGTCAAATGGCAAGACTAACTCTTATGGTGACACTTGTCACCTTTAGGTTTAAAACTTATCTTTTTGTCTCTCCAATACAAATATCTTAACACTTTGTAAAATAATATCACTTAATACAAAATTCCAACAAGTTGTCAAAAATATAATGCATTTACCGCACTTGCGGGTCCCACGTCCAAAATACGCTTTTAATTTCTCAAAAACTAACCGATACTAGAAAAATCATTTGAAAACTATATTTGCTCATAAACTTGATTTGGGGAATTTTTCTAATCAAGAAAATGTAGAAAAGGCAGGCATTTAAAAAAAATAAACCCTAGAAAATTAGAAAATTTTCGGGTTCTCAAACTCATTTTTTTCGGGGCGTCACAATCTCCCCTCCTTAAACGAATGTCGTCCTCGACATTCTACCTTGTACCAATCAAGTCGAGACATCCCGCAAAAATCACTAATACTTCAAACCAAACCCACAGTCCGGCATCCTAAACTTCAAGCCTAGGATACACTACAGAGATCTGAAGCCTAAGCTCTGATACCAACTGTGACGACCCCACTTTCCCCTAAGGCGAACCAAAGGGGTTAGCGGACCGCCTGCCCAGCTCTCGCCGGGACTCAGTCGTTCACTACAATCCTCAATTGAATTTCAAGATAAAACTTCAAATATTACATCAAATTCTCCAAAAATTACATGTCACAAATGCAGCGGAAACAATTCCTAACTATACATAAAATGATTCCAAATCAAAACTGTACAAAACATAGGCCATCCAATCACGTGCACAAGTACTATAAGTCCTTCCTTCGCCTTGAGCCCTGTGGAGGGGAATAAAATATTTTTGGGGTGAGCTAGAAGCTCAGCGAGTAACCAGCAAAATCATTAAGCAAATATATTTCACAATGTTGCATTTCGATGATTTCGATGATGTCATGATTCAGAGATCAAATGTCTGTTTAGTGCTCTCGTGAGCCAGTGAAATCATTGCACTAGAACACCCAACGCTCAAATAGATCATAACACACGAACAGAGAGAGGAAGCCCCTTTTTGAGCTCCAGATAACCATGAACATGAACCACAAACAGAATGGAGACGTTGGTGTCCAGCACAAGACTTTCCCAGAACTCATTGAAGCCAAAATCATATCATGAATTCACATGCAAGCACGCATGAGATGCAATCGAATAAATAATGCAAGAAACATTTCACAAATAACTTTGGAAATAGTTTAGGGTCACTCACCTCCATGGCTCAGAAACCATCCATCATATTGCATTACTTCACTCAAGTCCAAGCCCTAACGCACAAACGCAAAGCAATCAAGCCCATTCAAAATTCGGACAGCATTTCCCCTAAATTTCTTTACTTTTCCAGCCATCAAGGCTTCATTATTTCCTCAGCCAGTCCCAAAGGTACACACACAACAACAAGTTCATCTAATAGTCATTCAGCAAGCTCCAAGTAGTACTAGTACAAGTCAAGCTAGGGAAAAGTTCGGAAATGAAAGTTAAGCTCAAAACCAGGAAAACAGTTTTGACGTCATTTTGCGGTAATGGCACCAAAGGTATTACGAGTATCGGATGGAGGTCCAAGACCCACCGTTTCGAAGCTAAGAACCAGGGCTACAATAATGTAGAAGGTCACTCAGTCCAAATCCTAGCACAACTAGGTCAAATATGCAGAAA